GGTGTTGCCATGGTTTCTGAAAATAGAAATTTCTGTGAAATTCTTTCAAAATGCTACTCCTCCTACAGTTTTGGTCCAATTTCAGTAAAACTTGGCACACAAATAGAATACTCTAAGGCACATAATTCTGTGCATCGGTTTTTTGATTTCGATGAACGATGTTGCCATGGTTACTAAAAATAGAAATTTCCGTGAAATTCTTTCAAAATGCTACTCCTCCTACAGTTTTGGTTTGATTTCAATATAACTTGGCACACAAGTAGACTACACTAAGTTACATAATTCTGTGCATTGGTTTTGGAATTCGATAAACGGTGTTGCCATGGTCACTAAAAATAGAAATTTCTGTGAAATTCTTTCAAAATGTTACTCCTCCTACAGTTTTGGTATGATTTCAGTATAACTTGGCACTCTGTATATTACAGGGGTAAAATACCAAACCCGTGACGTTATAACTGGTGATAATGCAGTAGCAGAGTGAAAATGAAACGTAACGAAAATTCATGTAAACAAACGCAAGAAATCGGAGTTTAACACTTTACAACGTATTGAACTGTTATGCAACAAACACTAAATGTTTACGTCATGGAAACAGAAATTTACCATTTCCCCGCAAGCACCTTTTAGTGTGGTACACGTTTCTCTAAAGTTTAGCGTAAATAATATTATGATGCTATATTTCAATACAAAAATAACTTTTCTTATTTGATGAGATTTTTACAATTATAAAAGAAAAGTCAATAGTCATTAAAGTAAGGATTAAATGAACTTTTTTAAGTGTGTGAAATGCGTGATTGCGGGGAAACAGTATATGAGTGATTTTGGGTTAGAAATAGGAAATGGTATATGAGTTAAAATGCGTGAGTGCGGGGAAGGGGGGTTAAAAGCATTTAGAATGAATTTCATGTGTGATTCATGTGGGAATAAAGCTAATGGATAAGGTATGCTAATATAAATTTAAAGTATCTTCCTAGAATAAAAGCAGAGAGGGTGTTTACTTGCCGATCGGCCTTTTCTTTGTCCACTGTAGCGAGAAAGATGCAAAAGTTCAACAGTACGCCGCATACTTTAAAATTTAATTTTTGTTTTTATTAGCTCTACTGGTCAGAGACCAGGCCCCGGAATCATGAAGCATCTTAAGCTTAAGTAAAAAAATGTCTTAGTTGCTGACATTTTTTAGAGGTCAAGCAGCCCAAAATGAAAATGCTTTCCGATTTTGTTTCATCAGTCTGCTGTTGTATGCAAATTATGAGTTTCCTTTAACAAGTTTTAAAGATTTTATAGTAATTTGAAATTTTGACTTAAGTCTAAGTCTGTTCATGATCCCAGGGCCTGAAGAGCTTATGCGAAAAAAATGCGTCCGGCGTCCGTCCGTCTGTCTGTCTGTCTGTCCGTCTGTCTGTAAACAATTTTTCAAAACGCTACTCCTCCTACAATTTTAGTCTGATTTCAATATTACTTGGCACACAAGTAGACTACACTAAGATACATAAAATAGTGCATCGGTTTTTAATTCTGATGAATGGTGTTGCCATGGTTACTAAAAATAGAATTTTCTGTGAAATTCCTTTAAAACGCTACTCCTTCTACAGTTTTGGTCTGATTTCAATATAACTTGGCACACAAGTAGGCTACACTAAGATACATAAAATAGTGCATCAGTTTTTAGCTCTACTGATCAGAGACCTGAAGAGCTTATTCGATAGTAATGCGTCCGTCGTCCGTCCGTCTGTCTGTCTAGCTGTCTGTCTGTCCGTCTGTCTGTAAACAATTTTTCAAAACGCTACTCCTCCTATAGTTTTGATCTGATTTCAATATAAATTGGCACACAAGTAGACTACACGAAGATACATAAAATAGTGCATCGGTTTTTGATTTTGATGAACGATGTTGCCATGGTTACTAAAAGTAGAATTTTCTTTGAAATTCCTTTAAAATGATACTCATTCTACAGTTTTGGTTTGATTTCAATATTACGTAATACACAAGTAGACTACACTTAGATACATAAAATAGTGCATTTGTTTTTTATTTTGATGAATGGTGTTGCCATGGTTACTAAAAAATAGAATTTTCTTTGAAATATCTTTAAAACGCTACTCCTCCTACAATTTTGGCCTGATTTCAGTATAACTTGGCACACAAGTAGACTGCACTAAGATACATAAAATAGTGCAACGGTTTTGATTTTGATGAACAGTGTTGCCATTGTTACTAAAAATAGAATTGTCTGTGAAATTCCTTTAAATCGCTATACCTTCTACAGTTTTGGTCTGATGGCAATGGATTCTTTTCTCATCCTTTGTTATAAGAACAAACCAGTAGAGCTACAGTCTCGACAGAGACTTCTGGTCTAAAGTTCTTATCTATTGTTTTTGGAAAGTGCTGCTAGAATCGTTTGGTTTACGGGAATATATGCATTTTTTCGATGTTATGAACAAAATGTAAACATTTTGGGAAGCAAAATGTAAACATTTTGGGAAGCAAAATGTAAACATTTTGGGAAGGTTTACTCCAAAAGTGTTGAATAAGTATTTATGTAACAGGATAGTAGATTTCAGCAGCACTTTTCATGGTACAGAGATGTTTTTACATAACTATGACTTGAAATTGAAATTAATTATCCCCGGTGTAGTGTTGAACTTTTCACTTTTTCATTAAGGCATTTTTTCTAATTTTAGACGTCACGTGGTTACGTCGTGGTGTAGTGATTCTTGAAGTATATGTCTCATTGACGTCTATGGTTCTACTCACAATTATTTATTTTTACTCAGCTAAAATTATTTTTACTGCAGTAAAAATAAAACACATTGCTACTCACAATTAAATATTTTTACTTAAGTAAAAATATTTTTACTTCAGTAAAATTATTTTTACCCCAGTTAAAATCATTTATTTTGTCACCGAATATGGTTGGCCGTTCTACTCACAATTATTTATTTTTACTCCACTAAAATTATTTTTACTGCAGTAAAAATAAAACACTGGCCATTGCTACTCACAATCAAATATTTTTACTCCCGTATATGGTTGGCTGTTCTACTCACAATTATTTATTTTTACTCCACTAAAATTATTTTTACTGCAGTAAAAATAAAACACTGGCCATTGCTACTCACAATTAAATATTTTTACTCCAGTAAAATTATTTTCACTCCAGTAAAAATCATTTAATTTCTCACTGAAGTAAGATTACTTTTTGGCCACATTACTCACATTTAATTAATTTTACTGCAGTAAAAATAAAACACTGGCCATCTAACTCACAAATTAATTATTTTTACTGCAGTAGAAATATAACGTGTGAAAATAAAGACATCAATCAGCCAAACTTGTCCATGAAATTTATTAGGACCCTACACTCTAAACCAAACTTTGCGACATTCTTTTCTCTTGGAAATATAAGCATTCATAAATGTATATTGAAATATAGTAAAGAGTGTTTCGGCAGTTTTTATTACGGGTACTTGCCCTAAGGTCTGCCTCTTCAGGGGTCCACCTTAGCAGTGTGATCTTGTGGTAAACGTGATCTAATAATTATTTCGCCTATGCTTTTGTCTTTGCTATAAGCTATAATTGGTTCCGATGTAAATAATTCTTTGCATCTTGTGTCTGTTTGCATCTCGTTCCAGTATTTTAAGATGCGTTTTTTTAATCCTTTGATTCGGGGATTATATTTTGTAACCATAACCAATTTATTGTTGAGTTTTAATTGGTTGTTACTTTTATTTAGGATCTCATTTCTGTCTGTTCCGATTATGTTTGTGATAATAGGATCTATTTCTGTATCAGAGTAGCCTCTCTTTGACAAGTGTTTCTTAAAGTCTTGTAGAATAATATTGAGAGCTGCAGTGTCATTGGTATTTCTCACATGTCTTATGCATTCGCCTTTAATAAAACCTTTGAATACCGCCGGATTATGAGAACTTTCCCTGTGTAGATATTGGAAGTTGTTTGTTGGTTTTATGTAAGATTTGATATCAAGTTTGTTCGATTCTTGAAATTTTTTCCTTTATACACTGTTGTGTCTAAAAAGTTCACTGAATCAACAGAGATTTCAAAGGTGAATTTTAAGTGCGGATGACACTGATTACCAAGGTCAAAGAATTCGAGAATCTCAGTCTCTGAACCATTGAAGATGATGAAACCATCATCTCTAAATCTGCCATGAAACAAGACTTTATTAGCAAATTGAAACTTCGCCATGATTGATTGGGTTATTTGGAACATTCTAATATCAGATACCTCTGGGGAAACAGTTGAACCCATTGCACACCCGATTATTTGTTTGTAATATTTTTCATTAAATTCAAAATAATTATTTTCGAGTATGCATTTCACAAAGAAGATGAGATCTGAGACATCTGGATACGGTAACTCTGAGAGGTCTTTTTCGTTATTTGTGTACGCTTCTTCAACAGCGCATAATAATTCATCGAACTCCATGTTAGTATACATACTTGTAACATCGTATGTGATCAATAAGATTTGCGATGGTAGGCATAAAGTTTCGATTTTATTAATAAAATCAGTTGTATCCTTTATATAGGTCGATTGTTTTTTAACTATCGGAATTAGAAAATAATCATAGTAAGCACCAATTCTATGTGTTGGCGTATCGCATTGTGAAATAATAGGTCGCCCAGGTGGTAACCGTCTGAGGCTGCAAGTGCCATTCATGAGGGCAGTTAAGACATTATCTTTGATCTTGTGTATTTTAGGGAGCAAGTATAAGTGTCCGCATTTAAGGGACGACTCATTATCATTTAGATAACGATATGTTTCTTTATCCAATGTTCCTTTAATATGCATATCCAGTATTTTTTCTTGAATGCTATTATGTAAGTAAGACAGATCGGGTTTGTCAACTTCAATATAATGCTTTGATTTAAGTTGACGTAGAGCTTCTGTGACATATTTTTCTCTGTCCATGATGACAACAGTGTTACTTTTGTCCATTTTAATGGACGGGAGTAAGATAAAATGACTTTCCCCTGACTAGTGTTTATGTTCTAGATATAGAGTTATCGTTCTTTGTAAATTGTCAAAATTTCCGTTAGAGTTATCTTTCTTGTATGTTTCCGCTGCAGCCATTGTGAAAAACGTGTTTTCATCAGTCTTCTTTTCTTGAGGCATATTGTGGCCTACTACAGTGTAAGTCTTTATTTGTTTGTCTTATGCATTTATGTTTAGGTGAAAAAATGATATGTATTATATTTTCGTGTTTATACTGTGAATCATTTTTGCATATTTTTTGGAAATTTAGCTACAGCATCTCGGCCATGCATGTAAACACGTGGTTTCTGAACCAAACTTTTCCAACTTTTTATCATAAGTGCATTTATTTGAGAATTCGTTTAAACTATATTGATAGCTTAAGTAGGGAATTTATTGACTGTAAATCATATAATTTGAGTAAGAATCTTTGCAAAATTTTATTGTATTCAACCCCTGTTTGATCTGAAAAAGTATGGAACACAGTTAATGTCATAAGTCAAATTGAGTTTATTTTGTATTTGATGTATGTAACTTCTGAACATTTTCTTGTAATATTATTTTGTACTTTTTCAGCTTTTTACCACATTTTCAATAAATGGTTATACTGCTGTCTCTGGGACAGTACAGTAAAAAGACTACAACTGGCCTGCTGTGAATGCCTTCAGCACCCTGACTCATCTCACAGATCAACATGAGCGGAAGTGACCAATCCAAAGAGGTTGCAGAATCAACAAATCATGATCAACACTTGGAAGAAAATACGAACAGGAAGGTTACCATGACAGAGAAAGGTTTAGAACAGTTTGAAAGTTTATGTAATTCCCATGCAAGACGAATAGGAAAAGTATGGAGCATACTTGAGGTCATTATCAAGAGTGTGGAAGAAACATCAAGAAAATCATGCACAATAGAAGAACTTACAGGTTTACATGACGATATCAAGAAACATGTAAATGAACTAGAAACACAATGCACCAACTATCTCGAATTCTTGAATAGACAACATTCAGATCATGGTGACCAAGAAATGGAACGTTTTAACATGACATTGCGAGGCTACAGAATATTGGTGGACTCAACATTGAGGAAGTTGAACCTGAAGATCCAAGATCTACAATTTAACGAAAATGCGTCACAAGTCTCACGATCCTCAAAATCATCTAGCCGCAGTTTGTCATCAATTGCCACCAAGAAGCGAGCAAAAGCTGAAGCCCTGAAGGCTTCCTTAAAGTTTGCGGAAAACCAAGCAAAATTAGAGAGGAAACAAGCAGAGCTGACCCTTCAACATGCTATCACTGAAAAGGAAAGTGCCTTAGTGAACACAGAAATGACATTGTTAAACTTAAAAAGAGAAGCTCTTGAACTTGAAACTGAAGCCAATATTTTAGAAGAAGGTGAGGAAAGTGATTCGATGAAATCCGCCCTCAAGAGTTTAGAAGAGGAAGTGACGGCAGAAAGAACAAGTGCGTATATAGAAAACATTCCACCATCTGGTACATTTTCTGATCAGCCCAGGATGATTTTTCAAGAACCGTTTGTGATTTCCCAGGCTCCACCACTTGAGATTTCACCGACAACAAACCAAAGTACACAAGTACCCACAAGCCAAAGTACACATGTACCGACAAGCCAGAGTGCGCTCGCACCTAACTTGCAAAGCACTCAAACTTTACCAGAGGTGGGAACAACATCATCTGTTTCGGACTTCACCAGATACTTATTGAAGAAAGACTTATTGTTGTCCCGTTTAACAAACTTTAACGATAAACCCGAGTTTTACCCCACATGGAAAAACAGTTTCAAAGCAATTATGCATGAACTGCAAGCTTCACCTAGCGAAGAAATGGATCTTCTTGTGAAATGGACAGGACACTTGTCACAACGCCATGTCCTAAGTATTAAGGCTGCCAATCCTAACAATCCAATTCAAGCATTGACAAGGAGTTGGAATCGTCTCGACGAAAGGTATGGGTGTCCGGAAATGATGGAAGCAGCTTTGAAGGCAAAGTTATCTTCATTTCCAACTCTGACCAACAAGGATCTTAATCGCTTGTACGATTTGTCAGACATTGTAGACGAAATTGAAGCTGCAAAGGAGGATGCACAATATTCATGTCTTCTTTCATATTTTGATTGTTCTACTGGAATAACCCCAATAGTCAAGAAGCTCCCGCATGATCTTCAAGGAAAATGGACTTCTGTAGCAGTGAAACACATGACAGGAAATGGAGTGCCATTTCCTCCCTTCAAGGTTTTTGCAGAATTCATTCGCGAACAGGCGAGAATCAGAAACAATCCATCATTTGCCTATGGTGTTGAAACAAGAGGAGACAAACAAACCAAAAACAAACTGATAAATGTGTCCTCCAGGAAAACTGAGGTTTTACACCCAACAAAGGAAAACTCGTCAGACAGGAAGTGCCCCCTTCATCACACTTTCCACTCCTTGAATAAGTGTAAAGGATTCAGACTGAAATCTCTGGATGAAAGAAAGAAGTTTTTGAAAGAGAACAATATATGTTTTCGTTGTTGTGACTCTAACTCTCACAAGATGCGTGAATGTAGAGCAACTGTGAAGTGTGAAGATTGTGACAGTTTGACCCATCCTACAGCACTTCATGTGAAGATTCAAAATAGGAGGCACTATGGCGGGGAGCAGCAGAATTCGTCTGAGGATGTGAGCACTGCATGTACACAGATTTGTAAAGGACAGTTTGGTGGCAAGTCTTGTTCAAGAACGGTGCTTGTGCGTGTATTCCCACAAGGAAAACCTCAGCTAGCAGTCAACATGTATGCTGTCATAGACGACCAATCAAATCGTTCGCTTGCTAGCCCCAGATTCTTCACCTATTTTGATTGTGGTAGTGACGCCATAACTTACACACTGTCATCTTGTGGTGGTACCATACAAACATGTGGGAGAAAAGCAGAAGGATTTGTAGCTGAATCATTAGACCATAGTTGTACCCTGAATCTCCCATCTCTCATTGAGTGTGAGCAAGTTCCTTGTGTACGCGAGGAAATTCCTACACCAGAAGTGGCCTCACACTACAGTCATCTGGCCGACATAGCAAACCTTATACCGCCATTGGATCCAGATGCAGAGATCTTGTTACTTCTAGGAAGAGATGTGGTGAAAGCACATCATGTGCTCGATCAACGTATAGGACAAGGCAATCAACCTTATGGACAGAAACTGCATTTAGGGTGGACTATAATAGGAGAGACCTGCCTTGGCAAGACGCATGCACCTGCCAACATCACAACTTACAAGACTCATCTCTTGGGATCCGGTAGAGTATCCTATCTTCCACCATGCACAAATGAATTCAAGATAAGTGAAAACCTGAACAGTGTGTCATATGGACTTGACACAGCAAAACCTGTTTTGTGTGAAAATGAAAGCTTTGGTAAGAATGTTTTCGAAAAGACGAAAGATGATGAGAAGCCTGGATTATCTGTTGATGACATATCATTTCTTGAGATAATGGATAAAGAGTTCCACCAGAATGAAAGTGGATGCTGGACTGCTCCACTCCCATTTAGACAACCCCGTTTGAAGCTTCCAAACAACCGAAGTCTTGCATTGAAGAGAGCCAAAGCTTTAGAAGTTAGTCTACGGAAAGATTCAGTAAAAAAGGAACATTTTCTTACCTTTATGGATGAACTCATTAAGAACGGACATGCGGAGATTGCTCCCCCTTTAACTCATGAGGATGAATGCTGGTACTTACCTATATTTGGGATTTACCATCCTAAAAAGCCCAACCAGTTGAGAGCAGTCTTTGACTCTTCAGCCAAGTACGGAGGGACTTCTCTCAATGATGCCTTGCTTACTGGTCCTGATCTCACCAACAGCCTGTTAGGAGTTTTGATGAGATTCCGCCAAGAGCCTGTTGCAGTTATGGGTGACATAAAGCAAATGTTTTATTGCTTCAAAGTTCGCCAAGATCATCGCAACTTTTTGAGATTTTTCTGGTTTCGCGACAATGATCCAGCTCAGCCTATGATAGAGTATCGTATGACTGTACACGTGTTCGGCAACCGACCGTCGCCAGCGGTTGCCACATATGGGCTTCGTAGGGCAGCACTCATGGCAGAACCAGATTTTGGTACAGATGTGACAGACTTTGTGTTGAACAATTTCTACGTAGATGATGGACTTGCTTCCTTACCCACATCAAAGGAAGCTATAGATCTCATGAAGAAGACGCAGGCAGCTTTGGCGAAAGGTGGCTTACACTTTCACAAGATCGCTTCGAACCAGAAGGAAGTCCTAAGCGTCTTCCCACAAGAAGATCTGGCAAAAGACATGAAAGACCTAAAATTTGGAATTGATCTGCTTCCAAATCAGCGCAGTTTGGGCCTTAACTGGAACTTGGAAACTGACACCTTCTTCTTTGAGGTTATGACCAAAGACAAACCATTCACCAGACGAGGCATACTGTCATGTATAAACAGTATATTCGATCCCCTGGGATTCCTAGCCCCTGTGGTCATACAAGGAAAGAACATATTGAGAAACTTGATGGTTGGCACTATAGACTGGGATGACCCCCTGCCTGAAGATCAACTTGATACTTGGAGACACTGGAGGGATTCGTTAGTTCATTTAGAAGATCTACATATATCTCGCAACTACTGCCCCGAGTCCCTAAAACGCTGTAAAGAAAAAAGTATACATGTGTTTTGTGACGCCTCGGAACTTGCCATTGCTGCAGTTGGCTACATCATGACAACTTCCTCAGAAGGCAAGAGTCACACTGGATTTGTTTTAGGAAAAGCAAAACTCGCTCCAACACATGGACATTCTATACCAAGGTTAGAACTCTGCGCTGCGGTGCTAGCGGTTGAAGTTGGATGCTCAATTGCAGATCATTTGTCTCTACAGATCACAGACTTTAAGTTTTATTCTGACAGCAAGGTTGTGTTAGGTTACATTTTCAACACAACACGACGATTTTACACTTATGTAACAAATCGTATCTCCTACATAAGGAAAATGACCAGACCTGAGCAATGGACTTTCGTACCGACAGAACAGAACCCAGCAGATCAAGCTACACGACCACTACCAGCTCAACATTTGAAAGACAGCACATGGTTGAATGGTCCAACTCACCTGTCTCAACACAGAGAAAGTAAGCAGCAGGACTTTGAGATAGTGAATCCAGATGGTGATAGAGAAGTAAGACCAGAAGTTACTTGTAAGAAAACCAACACATTGCTTCCATTGCTCGGATCTCACAGATTCTCGAAGTTTTCTACATGGAAAATTCTTGTGCGTACATTTGCATTTCTGCAACATGTAACAAGATCATTTGCGAAACAGAGTGGATGTAGTGGTTGGCATTACTGCACCAAATCACAGACTGTTGAAGCATTTCAAGAAGCAGAGAGACTCATTATCAGGACTGTTCAACAAGAAGTTTTTACAGAAGAAATTGATCGTCTCAAACAAAACAGAGCATTACCTGATTCAAGCTCTTTGCAGTCCTTGGATGTTTTCCTTGACCCGGATGGCATTCTCAGAGTTGGAGGCCGCCTTAACAGAAGTAACATGCCAAGATCAGAGATCAACCCTATCTTGGTCCCAGGAAAGCATCACATAGCTACTCTTCTTGTCAGACATTTCCATGACATGGCCCAACATCAAGGCAGGCACATTACTTCAGGAACCATAAGAACTGCTGGATTTTGGATTACTGGTAGCAAACGCTTGGTAGCATCCATAATCTACAATTGCGTAAAATGTAGAAAACTGCGTGGAAAGTTCGCATGTCAGAAGATGGCGGATTTGCCCCCAGACCGTCTAGAGCCAGGTCCGCCGTTTACCTATGTCGGTATAGATACTTTCGGCCCCTGGGAAGTTGTTACCAGGAAGACCAGAGGTGGCGCTGCTAACTCGAAGCGATGGGCTATTCTCTTCACATGTCTGGTTAGTAGAGGTGTGCATATTGAGGTTGTTGAAGAAATGTCATCGTCGTCATTCATAAACGCCTTCAAACGCTTTGTCGCTATAAGAGGAAAAGTGAAACAGATACGCTCAGACAGAGGAACAAACTTTGTTGGGGCCACAGATGACCTTCAGATCAATGCAGTGAATGTTGAAGATGGACCCTTGAAGGAATACCTATACAATAGTGGAGTTGTATGGCTCTTCAACCCACCACACTCATCTCATTTTGGTGGCGTATGGGAACGCCTTATCGGCGTGACGAGGCGTGTCCTTGATTCCATGTTTTTAAACATACCTCCAGGGAGTTTGACACATGAAGTACTGACCACCTTTCTTGCGGAGGCATCAGCCATAGTAAATAGCCGACCATTGGTACCGGTGTCCACAGATCCTGATGACCCTCTTCCTTTGAGTCCTTCATTAATCCTCACTCACAAACCAGACAGTTCTGTTGATTGTACACCTACTGACGGAAAGGATCTCCTTCGATCACAATGGAGAAGAGTACAACAATTAGCAGACACCTTTTGGAAGAGATGGAGATCCCAGTACCTTCAAACGTTGCAAAACTACAGGAAGTGGAAGCATGAAAAACGCAACTTGGCAGTGGGAGATGTAGTCTTGCTGAAGGACAATTCTGTGATTCGTAACTCGTGGCCGATGGGTAGAGTCATCAAAGTATTTCCCAGCGTTGACGGAAAGGTACGGAAGGCAGAAGTTCGTGTCGTGTATCATGGAGAACAGTTTGCCGTATATGTGCGACCTGTAACTGAACTAGTTGTTTTGATTCAAGATGTGTGAACTGTCATATCAAAGTTTTGTTTGAACTGAAGTATGAACTTCGAATATTGTTCGCATGATTTAGTATATTTTTCTAGTCACTGATAGTGTATTTTTTCTAGTCATTTTATGATTTATATAGTGATGTTTTTGTAACATCAGACGGGGAGTGTACTGACTAGTGTTTATGTCCTAGATATAGAGTTATCGTTCTTTGTAAATTGTCAAAATTTCCGTTAGAGTTATCTTTCTTGTATGTTTCCGCTGCAGCCATTGTGAAAAACGTGTTTTCATCAGTCTTCTTTTCTTGAGGCATATTGTGGCCTACTACAGTGTAAGTCTTTATTTGTTTGTCTTATGCATTTATGTTTAGGTGAAAAAATGATATGTATTATATTTTCGTGTTTATACTGTGAATCATTTTTGCATATTTTTTGGAAATTTAGCTACAGCATCTCGGCCATGCATGTAAACACGTGGTTTCTGAACCAAACTTTTCCAACTTTTTATCATAAGTGCATTTATTTGAGAATTCGTTTAAACTATATTGATAGCTTAAGTAGGGAATTTATTGACTGTAAATCATATAATTTGAGTAAGAATATTTGCAAAATTTTATTGTATTCAACCCCTATTTGATCTGAAAAAGTATGGAACACAGTTAATGTCATAAGTCAAATTGAGTTTATTTTGTATTTGATGTATGTAACTTCTGAACATTTTCTTGTAATATTATTTTGTACTTTTTCAGCTTTTTACCACATTTTCAATAAATGGTTATACTGCTGTCTCTGGGACAGTACAATCCGTATATAAATGGAAAATAAATAAATAGATGGCACAGACTAAATCCTGTGGTGCTAACGTGCACTAATCTAATTTGAAGCAACCGTATAGTAAAATCCAACTCATCAATTTTGTTGATAGCTTCTTGGTTAGAAGGGATCGTAAAGTCATCGTCCATTGTAATATTCTTTGTTTGCTTTTTTAGGGAGAGTCGACTAAGTCTTTGTAGCATATCTTGTAGAGTGTGATAGTTGTACAAATTTTGACTATATAACTTTCTAAGAATCAATCCTCAAATTTTACAAATCATTTAGTATCTGTGATGTTCAGGAGGTCTCAAATCATGAGCGGATGAAAAAATTAGCTTGGAGGTGTCAACTTGTTTCCGTTCTTTTGGTTTAATAAAAATGTCTCAAGTGGCAAGAGGGAGAAGCCCCAATAAATTAAGAGCAAGTCGATCGCGTTCAAAGAAGGCGATTCACGGGATGATGCCTGTGGGACATTGTCCCTAGATACAAGGTATGAAAATAAAGACATCAATCAGCCAAACTTGTCCATGAAATTTATTAGGACCCAAATTTATCTATCCTGACATGAAACAAAAACAGCGTCAACCAAATGTTATGATTACCAAATACAATCCATATGTCAAGGGTTTAAAAAAAAAACGCCTTCTTAAACACTGGAACATTTTGCAAACAGACACAATTTGCAAAGAGTTATTTATCGATGAACCAATAATCGCCTACAGTAAACACAAAAACATAGGCGAAATGATAATTAAGTCACGCTTACAATAGCTTAAGTCTTATACTCAAGGTCGGGCTCCTGATGATGGCGGGCCTTAAGAGCAAAAAATCATATTTCTCTTTAAAAACCGCCGAAACACTCTATGGCTCCATAATAACAATTTATTGAAAAAATCATAAGTGGTCTAGAGTGTCGAGCCCTGCTAAATTTACGACAGGCTTGGTTGATTGATGTCTTTTTTCAAAATCGTTCTACTCACAATTATTTATTTTTACTCCACTAAAATTATTTTTGCTGCAGTAAAAATAAAACACTGGCCATTGCTACTCACAATCAAATATTTTTACTCCCGTATATGGTTGGCTGTTCTACTCACAATTATTTATTTTTACTCCACTAAAATTATTTTTACTGCAGTAAAAATAAAACACTGGCCATTGCTACTCACAATTAAATATTTTTACTCCAGTAAAAATATTTTTACTCCAGTAAAATTATTTTCACTCCAGTAAAAATCATTTAATTTCTCACTGAAGTAAGATTACTTTTTGGCCACATTACTCACATTTAATTAATTTTACTGCAGTAAAAATAAAACACTGGCCATCTAACTCACAAATTAATTATTTTTACTGCAGTAGAAATATAACACTGGCCATCTCTACTCACAATTAAATATTTTTACTTAAGTAAAAATCAGCCAATAACCAAGTTTGTTACAAATACCAGAAAGCATATTAACAGTATTGGCCAATACTAATAATCAAATACTTTAAAAACAATTAATTTCAACAAATGTAAATATCTAGCCGTAAACTGATCTCTTTTTTGGTACTAGCTAACAATTTTTGAAAGCTGAAATAGAAAGTTCCTTATATGAATCTTTGGATATGCATTAAGTTCGAAAACAAAATGATACAAAAAAATGCGGAACTGTCTCTACATGTTTATAATAGAAACTTTCTCATGCCATGATTCACTATAATTTCACAAGAAAAACTTCTTAAACTCTAATTGATGTTTTCTGTAGTATCTCTACATATTTTCTATACTCTTTATATACTATGTTTTCTATAAAGACTATACAGTATATTGGCAAATCTGTACAGTTTAGTTCTTTTGCACTATATTCTCTGTCATAGGCGTCGGAAGCAACTAGAAAGTGAAGAAACTGGGGGGGGGGGAGGGGAGGCTTGGTCCCCCCCTTTAGCCCCCCGGTTCCGACGCTTATGTGTGTCATGTCGTATATTAAATACTGTGGAATCATTTTTATTCGTGGGGGTCAATGTTCAAGGGTAGCCAAAAATTTCCTGCTTCGTGGGGACGTAATTTCGTTGGTAACAAGTTCCATTTCGATTTTTTCCCTCCAACATTAAAACAAAAAGGATAACCCCGTCGATAATGCTTATTTAAGTTATCTCTCTTGTGAAAACAAAATTGTACCCGCGGCTTGCACCCGAAAAATTACTGCCGAATGATAGGAATGATAATTAGTAACATTAATTAATTAATTATAATTCACCCTGTGACATGAGAACTACGACAACAATGCCAAAATTGACTTAAAAACTTTTACCCTGAAACCAAATCATGCTAATTGGCTAATTAACACCCACTCCAAAATCGCACTAAAAATTGACCTTCTCGAAGGGGCATTTGAGCGTGTTGGACTATAATGTAAACACTACTTAAATTTAACAGTTGTATTTATCATTTTATTTTTACTTATTGTATATAGTTCTCGATGTCTTTGATACTTAATATTTTTTTTATTTTGGTTTCGTGTCAATAATTAACAACATGCAGATTGTCTTCTTTATGCGAGATCACTCGGACACAAGGGTAACAATTATTTTACGATGTAAATAATTTTTAACAAATGATAAACCAAATCTTTGTAAATACATTCGTGGGGATGTAAATTCGTTGGTCAGGGTTACCCACGAAAGCCACGAACATTGGTCCCCCACGAACAATGATGATTCCACAGTACGCAAACTCTACTATACAACTGTAGCCATGTGTAAACAGCCTGGGGAATTTTCCCCTTGAGCTATGAGTCACCAAATATCTAACATGGACTGTGATTGGTTGATTTTTACTTCAGTGAAAATATTTAATTGCGAGTAGAAATGGCCAGTGTCGTATTTTTACTGCAGTAAATAGATTTTCACAGCAGTAAAATTAATTAACTGTGAGTTAAATGGCCACATTGTATTTTTACTCCAGTAGAGAAGTAAATTATTTTTACTGAAGTAAAATTAATTTTACTTGAGTAAAATATTTTTACTGGAGTGAAAATATTTAATTGTGAGTAGCAATGGCCAGTGTTTTATTTTTACTGCGGTAAAAATAATTTTAGTGGAGTAAAAATAAATAATTGTGAGTAGAACGGCCAACCATATTACTGGATTAAAAATATTTAATTGTGAGTAGCAATGGCCAGTGTTTTATTTTTACTGCAGTAAAAATAATTTTAGTGGAGTAAAAATAAATAATTTTGAGTAGAACGGCCAACCATAGACGTCTGTAGAATGCATAATTATAGCAAAAGATTTATCCATGACTTTTCAAATTTATAAGTGTTACATGTTATAAAAAAGTGTTAATTCGCCGAATTCTGATCCATGTGCTGCCGTAACATACCAGCGACGTTACAAATGAAATTAAATTATTCAATATTAATAATGATCAACAGATTGGTTGTTCGTTTCTATTGTATAATTTACTTTATTGTAAACGAACTGCCAAAATATTTTTGCAAAGATTAATTTGAAATATTTAATGGTGCCCCCTTCACATAACCAATAGAATCGTTCTCATCCGGTCTATCTTAGGTATCACCACTTTCAGCATAATTAGTTCACATCTTTGCGTCTGCCCCCTCAGCACATTGCAAACAAACCCATCGCTGTTTTTCCTTTATTACTGTGAAGCTGAATATATCCGATAAAAACACACGTGCTTTTGTTAACATCTCAGTCTGTAACATAAGCTTTATTTGTTTCCAGCGTCTAGAGAATTCCATACGGGAGATTGCTCTCAATGACTTTTTTCATAAGTGACCTTATATAAACCTTTTTTCTCCGGAAACCCTGTGTTGCCAATGATCATGATATGAATCACATTTAAGCATGCATATGTTTATTGCTCAGGAGAGTGATTGATTGTATATTGTTTAACGTCCCACTCGAAATTTTTTCACTCAAATGGAGATATCACCATTTGCCGGTGAAGGGCTTCAAATTTAGACCTATGCTCGGTACCCAGGGCCATTGGGCAATAAGGGTTCTTTATCGTGCCTACACAAACTGTGACAAGGGACCCACGTTTTTAATGTCATATCCGAAAGACATGTGACTTTCACTTTTAGTGCCGAGTGCTTGGCGAAGAAACAATCACTACCTATGTTAACGTTTTAGGTCTGACTCAGCGTTGCGAACGAGAATCGAACCCGGACCACCCGATCACGAAGCGAACGCTCTACCACTAGGCTACCGTGACAAATAAAATACGCAGCATCTTTAATTTAGTCAGGCACAGACATTGTTTTAAGGATTTCCATCCCTATTGCATGGAATCAATTTCTCTTCCCTTAAATGTCCGTCAAGTACATAATACTTTGATACTATATTAAAGCACTTTATATTGGAAAAGTATTGCCCGCGAGAAAGTTTCAAAAATTTCATTAATTAAGCAGTAGTTAATTAATAAAGATTGCATTGAAATATATGGGGAAAAGCATTTTTTAAAATGTAAATTCAGATAATTTGGATATCAATATGTCCTGCGATGGAAAGATGCATTGAATCAATAAAAATAAAATTGACAATTCAAAGCATTTTTTTACTGTCTAATTTTTTAAAATATTTTCTTTATTTTAAAAAAGGGGAGATACGTATTCAATGCCTACATAATAATAATAAATGGGAAGTATGTCTAAATAGATTGAGTATTTAAAGCCTACATTACTCTATTTAATTTCATTGAATGTTTTTATTTGGGGTTGAATACCTTAATCTCTCTGTTCAAAGCAATCTGCAAGTCCAATGCCTTGTAAATCAACATAAAGTAAGAAAATATTGATGTGAGAATCAATTTTCGCCGACAATAAACGAAAAGTAAACAATAGAAGTGAGTCTTGATCATCAAACCGCTTCGATGTGTGTGAAAAAGTGATGCGTCTAAATAATGGAGATGATAGTTGAGAATATTTTGAAAACTTATACTCGGATGAAAATCGAACAAAAATGATACTCTTTTAAACTTTGTCCATTCCTTAAGTAAATGTTGACTGCATAATATATAAACTAAAATAAGACTCATGCATCACCTATTTTGAAAAAATGTATTTTACTTTAAGAATATAAAACACGAACCTTGTAGAGTACGTTTTATGGGATACGCAAAATTCGATGTTATAAAAAAAAGGGACCTGTCGTTTTTTCGAAAGTAAATAATAAGCAACTTTATATATCAATTATAAAAAAAAAACATATATTTTCACAAACCCACATTATGAAAGTGAACATATTATGTATTTTCGTTATTTATAAAGGGAAAAATATTCTAATTAACAATGTTGTTTAATGTCTTTTCTGAATAACTTCTCCCACCTCATTTCCCTTACACCAACACTTTAACTTATATGTCTAAGGCAAAAAAAAAATACCTAAAAAGAATTATAAATAAATTTACATACTTAGTAATAATAATGATATTACAACAATATTTTATATCTTAAAATGTCCGCATCAAAAACACATAGAATTTTTTTCACACTTTGATATCCATTTTATTTAATTTTTTTATGTTTTTTTGTTCACAAAACGCAGTCGACAAAAATTTTATGTGTTTACAAATCTGTGACTTTGACGTTTTTTTCTGAGCATTATGAACTCAAAAGATAAGGATCCTTTTCTCATGACGACATTCATATAATTTCGAAGAACTTCTTCCCTAAAAATGAAAGTATGAGTATGAGTGAGATTATTTCTTATCATGTAGATTTAAATCCAAATACTTCTAATATACAATTTATTTATAAAATGAGCCTTACAAACGTAGACAATGTTTTGTTACCTGCATTTTCTTAAGTGGTGATAAAAAACTTTTGTTATACCCCTACTACTTAACAGTCCCTATATAATTTCTAACTTTAAAAAGTCCAACAAGTCGACTGTTTTCCCCGACTCTCAGTCCAAGGAATTATTAAAATTGGCCGTTAAAAAAGACTGATGCTCGCTGACGTCACATGGCGCTAAATTGCATAATGTTTTCATCATGCAGCAAACCTCTGCTGATTTGCATAACAGTGATTTAAATGTAATCAGGAGTGCCGAATAAATTAAACATGTCATGATAAACAGAAATGATCGATGTTCGTTTCGCTGCGGCAAATGAGGATGAAATCTGGGGATACTCGAATGTTCTCCCAGATAATGTTGATGTTAACGACGAAAAACTTGCTCTCTCTCTTGACAACCCATTGTTTTGAATTTTGAGAATGCGGACATCAGTATTCCTAACATGAATATAACAAAATCATTCTTAAATTTTTTCAAAGATGTAACGTTACCATTACTGATTAAAATTTAAAATGTGTTCAAATTTATTGTAGAATTGATGTTAAATTTTCTACAAGCTCTAGCTAGAAACTTTTAGCTTCAGAACTGTGTGTTACATCATTCTCATTTGTTATGATTCATGATTGCTTATAAATACACGTAAACATGATAAAGTCTCTCAATCCCAAACAATGTTAATAAATGAATTCGATTTTGTAGGAATATACAAAGCAGTCTCGGGAAAGAGTCGACCTGTTGGACCAAAGTGCAAGCTGTTGTCTGCGGCCTACGACTTGCACTCTGGTCCAACAGATAGATGTTTCCCTCTATCCCTGTCTACGAATTACTGGGATATATTTATTTTTTTCCTTGTGAGATATTATTAACTGATTACATTTAGTTTTGATTATAAAGATTTCATTTTTACCGCTAAAAATATTTACTATTTGCACCAAGGAATCCATTGTCCCAGAAAGGACAAAGTTGTGTTGCAAGATCGGGATACATAAATTTCTGTTTTATTTTCATTTTTTAGCCCATTTCGACGAAGTCGAGATGAGCTTATGCTATACCCCCGGCGTCGGCGTCGGCTTTAGCGTCGGCGTACCAATTTAAAGTTTTAGGAGCAAGTCCATTCCCAAGTAAATATGAGCATTACCTGAACCAAACATGCATGGATAATACATTTAGGGGTGTACACTACCAGACTTGCTCCGGATGCTGGATCTGACCTACATTTTCTAGATGAGTGACCAAGTTAAAGTTTTTGGAGCAGGTCAATTCCCAAAGAAATAATAAGCCCTTCCAGGAGCAAACTTGCATGGATGATGCATCTAGGGATGCAACTACAAGACTTGCTTTGGATGCTGGATCTGACTTACATTTTCATTCCCAAATAACTATTAGCCCTACCTGAACCAAACTTGCATGGATAATGTATCTAGGGATGTTCACTACCAGACTAGCTTCGGATGCTAGATCGGACCTACATTTTCATTCCCAAGTAACCATAAGCCCTATTTGGACCAAACTTCTATGGATGATGCATTTAGGGATGGACACTACCAGACTTGCTTTGGATGGTGAATCTGATCTACATTTCATTCCCAAGTAACTATAAGCCCTACCTGAACCAAACTTGCATTGTTGATGTATCTAGGGATCGACACTACCAGACTAGCTTCAGATGCTGGATCTGACTTACATTTTCATTCCCAAGTAACTATAAGCCCTTTTTGGACCAAACTTGCATGGATTATGCCACTACCAGACTTGCTTTGGATGCTGGATCTGACCTACATTTTTATTCCTAAATAACTATAAGTCCTAGCTTAACCAAACTTGCATGGATGATGCATCTAGGGATGGACACTACCAGCCTTGCTTCGGATGCCGGATCTGTCCTATATTTTCATTCCCAAGTAACTTTAAGCCCTATTTGCACCAAACTTTCATGGATGATGCATCTAGGGATGAACACTACTAGACTTGCTTCGTATACTGGATCTGACCTACATTTTCATTCCCAAGTATCTATAAGCCCTATTTGGAGCAAACTTTCAAGGATGATGCATCTAGGGATGGACACTACCAGACTTGCTTTGGATGCAGGATCTGGCTTATATTTTCCATACAAGAGACCAGGTTAAATTTTTCGGAACAGATCAATCTAAATGAACTTGAAGTCCTTGATATCTGCAGTATTTACAAAGTTATGAATATTTGTTTATACTATACATGTTTTTCACGCTACACGCGTAGAAATGTGTATATGCCATGTAAGGGGTTAATCACAACTTGCAAGAATATTGTTGTTGGGATGTATACTAAATATGAAGAAAATATGGTGTGAGATTTGCATTACTTAAACTGATTACATTCGTCGAGGTGAGCTTCGTAATCTTTGATTACCTATGTTTTTAATTTGTAGCTCACCTCAACGAATTAAAAGCGAAATGAGCTTATGCTACATGTATACCCCCGGCGTTGGCGTCGGCATTAGCGTCGGTGTCCCAGGTTTAAGTTTTAGGAGCAAGTCCATTCCCAAGTAACTATAAACCCTACCTGAACCAAACTTGCATGGATGATGCATCTAGGGTTGGACACTACCAAGCTTGCTTCTGATACTGTATCTGACATACATTTTTCTAGATAAGATGAGTGACCAGGTTAAAGTTTTTTAGAGCAGGTCCATTAGAATGGTCTTTAAGCCCCACCCGGACAAAACTTGCATGTATGATGCATTTAGGGATGGACACTACCACATGGATTATGCATTTTGGAATGAACACTTTTAGACTTGCTTCAGATACTGGATCTGACCCACATTTCCCAGATGAGTGACAAGGTAAACGTTTTGGAGCACGTCCATTCCAAAGGAACTATAAGCCCTACCCAAACCAAACTTGCATGGATCATGCATCTAGGGATGGATACTACCAGACTTGCTATGGATGCTGGATCTGACCTATATTTTTCAGATGAGTGACCAGGTTAAAGTTTTTGGAGCCAGATGATTGACCAGGTTAAAGTTTTTGGAGCAGGTCGATTCCTAATGAAATATAAGCAAAATTGGACCAAGCTTGCATGGATGATGCATCTAGGGATGGCCACCACAAGACTTGATTTGGATGCTGGATCTGACCAATATTTTCATTCCCAAGTAACTATTAGACCTACCTGAACCAAAATTGCATGGATGATGCATCTAAGGATGTACACTTCCAGACTTGTTTCGGATGCTGGATCTGACCTACATTTTCCAGATGAGTGACTAGGTTAAAGTTTTTGGAGCAGGTCTATCCCAAAGAACTATAAACTCTACCTGAACCAAACTTGCATGGATGATGCATCTAGGGATGGACACTACGAGACTTGCTTTGGATGCTTGATCTGACCTATATTTTCCAAACAAGAGACCAGGTTATAGTTTTGGGATCAGATCAATCCCAATGAACTTAAAGTTTTTGATATTCATTATTAACAAAGTTATGAATATTTGTTACACTACACATGTTTTTCACACCAAATGCTTAGAAATGCGCATATGCCATGAAAGGGCAACTTTCAAGAATATTGTTGTTGGGATAAATATTAAGTAATATATGATATAAGATTTGTATTACTTACACTAATAACAGTCGTCGAGGTGACCTTCGTAATCATTTATTACCTATGTTTTTAATTTAACATTATTTTCAAAATTAAGATTTTCTTTTTAAGCAATATATTTAGAATGAATTTTAACTTCATTGTTTTAAAATATATAGAAAAAAAGACACATCGGTCTTTACCGAAATACATGTTTAACATATCTTATAATTCACCTGTAAATTGGATTAAGAGAAAGAAAACAGTAAAAAGGAAAGTGAAATTTTGTTTGCAATGGAGTTTATTTATGTCTAATTACTGATTTCTCTACAAATATTCATCAAAAAACGTAGCTTGACACACTACTTAAAACAATTTTTGCTTTATTTACAGAGGGAAGAAATCTGGTCATCGAATTCAAAGATTCAAAGTGAGGCTGAAAAATCAACCAGCGAAGCTTTTCAATGTGATTTCTGTTTAAAGAACTTCAGCAGGCCCTCTCACTTAATCAGACATAAAACAATACATACTGGAGACAAACCTTATAAATGTGATGTGTGTGGGAAGGCATTCAGTCAGTCAAATAACTTACAGACACACATGAGGACACATACAGGTGATAAACCTTATAAATGTGATGTGTGTGGGAAGGCATTTAGCCGGTCATATACCTGTCAGGAACACATGAGGATACATACAGGTGATAAACCTAACAAGTGTGATGTATGTGGGAAGGCTTTCAACAAATTAGGTAACTTATACTGCCACATGAAGATACACACAGGTGATAAACCTTATAAATGTGATGTGTGTGGAAAATCATTCAGCCAGTCACAATACTTACAGAAACACATGAGGATACATACAGGTGATAAACCTTTTAAATGTGATGTCTGTGGGAAGGCATTCAGCCAGTCACATCACTTACAGACACACATGAAGACACATACAGGTGATAAATCTTATAAATGTGATGTGTGTGAGAAAGCATTCAGTCAGACACAAAACTTGCAGAAACACATGAGGACACACACAGGTGATAAACCTTATAAATGCAATGTGTGTCGGAAAGCATTCAGTCAGACACAAAACTTACAGACACACATGAGGACACATACAGGTGATAAACCTTATAAATGTGATGTGTGTGGGAAAGCATTCAGCCTGTTACAACACTTACAGACACACATTAGGACACATACAGGTGAGAAACCTTATAAATGTGATGTTTGTGGAAAGTTTTTCAGCCAGTCACAACACTTACAGACACACTTGAGGATACATACAGGTGATAAACCTTATAAATGACATATGTGTGGGAAGGCATTCAGCCGGTCATATACCTGTGAGACACACATGAGGATACATACAGGTGAAAAACTTAACAAGTGTGATGTGTGTGGGAAGGCCTTCAACAAATTAGATAACTTATAGAAACACATGAGGATACATACAGGTGATAAACCTTATAAATTTGATGTGTGTGGGAAAGAATTCAGGCAGACACAACACTTACAGACACACATGAGGACACATACTGATGATAAATCAAATATGCCAATGATATAAAAAGACACATGAGGACACATACTGGAGACAAACCTTATAAATGTAATACGTGTGGGAAAGCATTCAGCCAGTCACAACACTTAAGGACACACGTAAGAACACATACAGGTGATAAACCTTGTAAATGTGATATGTTTGAGAAGGCAGTGTTTCATGCTGTAATGGATTTCTTTGTAAAAATAATGAACAGTTAATTTGTATAAAATTATGTAGATAGTAAGCTCCACATTAAAGTTTAATGATTTATAAATCAGAAACATTGTCATATACCTGTCATGAACACTTGAGGATACATACAGGTGATAAACCTAATAAGTGTGATGTGTGTGGGAAACCTTTCAACAAAGTAGGTAACTTAAACTGCCACATGAAGATACACACAGTTGATAAATCTTATCAATGTGATGTGTGTGGGAGGCATTTAACCAATCATAGAACTTACAGATACACGTGAGGATATATATACAGGTGATAAACCTTAAAAATGTTATGTGTGTGGGAAAGAATTCAGACAAACACAACACTTACAGAAAAAAATGAGGACACATACAGGTGATAAATCTTATAAATGTGATGTTTGTGGAAAGTTATTCACCCGGAGAGATACCTTACAAATACACATGATGATACATACTGGAGAGAAACCTTATAAATGTTATTTTTGTCCAAGAGCATATTGTAAAAAGTCAGATCTAGATGGACACCTGAAGGTACACACGTGATAAACACGATAAACCTGTTGAATGTGTTGTGTGTCGAAAAGCAGTCAACCGATTACACACATTAAAGATCTACAGACATGTAGAGGCGAGAAACCTTAGTATTGTGATGTGTTTGGAAAATTATCCACAGAAAGCATTTAAAGTAACTTACAGAAACTCATGGAGACGCATTCCAAATGAATGCTAAACCTTACAAATGTGATGTTTGTGGAAAATCAATTAAAAAAGAAGCATACAAGGAGAATCATTTGAGGACACATAAAAATTAAAAGCCTATACCAGAATACTTCTAGAAACAGAATGATGAGAGCCTCACACATTCGATTTAACGGATAATTATACCCCCGTCTTAAGACGGGACGTATTATGTTATAGGGTTCGTGTCCGTCCGTCCGTCTGTCTGTCCGTCTGCTAGCTTTTCTCGTGTCCGGATCATAACTTTAATACTAGAAGGCCTAGAGTTACTAAAGTTTGTCAGCTGATACATCTTGGGCAGAAGGTGTGTCTCGCACAAAAAGTAAGTCACTCTGACCTTTAATAAAGATGCTATAGCCAAATATGGAAAAATCCTGTCCGGCTCATAACTAGAAAACTATGAGACCTAGAGCTTTCAAACTTGGCAAAAGTATACAGCTATAGTAGATGGCTGGTTTGATTAACACATCCTTCACTTTCACATAGAGCCATAGCGCATTTGATAGTCGCTTTCGCTTTTTTAAATACATTGTTTAACCAAAATTTTGTCATACAATGTTAGTACATTCTTTGAAGCAAATCACACAACAATAATATTTAAAGGAATATGAGCTGTATCTTTGAGAATTTTATTTTGCTGGTAAAATGTCCTATTATGATTAATTTGTAGGTAATTTAAACCCATATGACCAATAAGCCCAAAATAAAGTTTTAAAATGTTTCAGATGAAATATTTCTGTACCACCAAATATACAATTTTATATAAGAAATCATTATTGTACAGGACGACAATAATTCAATTTTGCTTCAATCAAAGCTAATAAAAAAAATTACATCGCAAATATGAACAACAGAAGTTTATAAATGATTTATTTTTCTGTCATCTAATTAGTTAATTACAAATTTTCAATAAAATTTTCCGATGTCAAACATGCAGCTCATATTGCTTTAAATATTAATAGTTCCCTCATATGATAGGTATAAAAATCGTTCAGTTTATATGGAGAATATAGTAAATACTGAGGTATCCTCCTAAACAATGACAAACTGTGGCAGACCACCCTTAACCAGAAAAAACAACTTCTGAATAATTTTATTTTGATATGACTGCACTTCATTACATTTAGATATTTTGGTTAATGGTGGTCTTCATATTGAATATATTAAAAAAATGTACAAATTTTCATCTCAAAATTATCTTAAGATTCAACAATCTGTCTTAAATTCATCCATCTAAATACAATGACTTCGTGGCGTAGTGGTATGATTGCTGGACTGTAAAATACTGGTAATGATCGTGGGTTCGAATCTTACTTATGCTTTTATTTTTATTCCTCTGTGCATTTTTCATGTTTTTCTTTTATTATTTATAATACATGTATAAAAACTGTAAGAGATTATTATAAAATACAACATTACACTTTGAAAGTATATCGGGAAAAAACAGTCCTGAACTAATGATCCAAACTCATTGCTTTAGCTTGTTTTATTTTAAAAGTTTTCTAAAAATCTTGTTTATGATAAGAGTATTGAACAAGTAAGATATTTTCGTGTAAGAAAGATATGGAGATAACGAAGAGTATTCAATCTCAAAGTCCATAAAACAATACAAAATAAGAGTAAAGCAAACACAGACCCCCAAAACATCAGAGTTGGGATCAGGTGCCATGGAGGAGTGAGCATCCCCTCCCGACCGGTCACACCCGCCGTGTGCTCCTTGTCATGATCAGGAAATAACGAAAAAAATCGGTCGTCAGTGTATAAATAATGGACTAACAATTGGTATGAAAAATGTCAGTCAGCATTTGACTCAATGATAAACTGTGTTTGCTGACAAGGTCATTGCCTCGGCCATAGGAATTGCGAAATGATTACATTAAACGAGACTGTTGATATTCTTGTTTTGTCAATATGCTTGTCAATGATTTACCTCGTTTTAGAAATTGTTCATACATATAGAGCATATTCTTGCGTATATTCTTGCGTATCGAATCAACTGAGATATATATACTCCGTATGCAGGTGATGAAGGTAAATTGCTGCATAAGTAAGGGAAGCTGACGATAGAAAAATTAAATTAATCATGATTATCATACCGGGGTATAGCTTGGTTGTTAGATTACCATTAGTGTCTTTTTCAAGTAAAATATCCAAGTATGAAACAGAAGAGTCGGACTCTGCGGTATCTTTTATCTCAAGCTCACCAGGATATATCGTATCGACGTTGGAATGGAAATTACCATTATTAATTGACAATACGTCGTCAATATATCTAAATGTCGAGTTGAAGGCCACAGCAAGTGTTTTCTTCTGCACGCATAAGATTTTGCACAAATATAACTCTGGTCCACAAATAATTGCAAACATGTAGTTTGATTTTGAAGGTATGTGTATCTATAGATAGAAACAGGTGATTTCCTTTAAATACTTGAGTCGGCCGTGCCCTCGGTAAGGCAGTTATGGCTCCTTTAACTTTATTCTAAATCATAAGGAAAAGTGGCAATCTTGTTGTGTATCAATGAGAAATATTAAAACTTAAATCCAGAAAAAAAACTTTATTCATAGTAGAAATTTTGGAAAGCAAAACTCCATCACAAGTATCGTCATTCCGAGCTGAGTGTTGTGTACAGAGTTTAGCAAATAGATCACACTCGTATTATGTACACAGTTCTTGTCAACAGAACACGAGCTCTTTTATTGCTGATGTTTACGATTCACCGGGTTCGTTCAATCATCAAAGTCTGCTCACCACAACTGCACGGAATGACAATATATTGTGTGTTTGTTTTGCTCTCGAAAATGTCTACTCTGAATTTTCTGGATTATAGTATTAATATCTTTCATTTATACACAACAAGATTGCCACTTTTCCTAAGTATTAAGAATAAAATTTAAAAATTTTATAGTGCAAGAATGTGTCAATCATACCCGCCAAAAAATTTGAAGTTTAAAAAACTTTTACATTTTTAATTAATTTTTGTGTGAAATGCCATAAAAATATATAAGTCGTAATATTATAGAGAAAATATTAACTTCAAATCTGTGTCCAAGTACTTTTGATATGAAGCATAAGAAGTCACACGTAAACACACCCTGATTTTCACGTTTCAAAAAAGCAGGTACCTGGACCAAACTTGCATGGATGATGCATCTAGGGATGGACACTACCAGAATAGCTTTGGATTCTGGATCTGACCTTCATTTTCCATGCAGATGAGTGACCAGATAAAAGTTTTTGGAGGTCCATCCCAAGTAATTATAGGCCTAACTGCAGATCTGTAGCTCTCTGAAAAAAATATATTGATGGACCGTAGAGACACAGTGCCACTCATGGAAAAAACTGTATATGTATTGCGCACAAAAAAGTGCGCTTGGTTCTTGATTAATTCTTTCAAATTCTTACCTTAATTGCAAAAAAGGGAAGATTTCAAAAGTTTATCAAGTACTCTCGTAGTTGACATCTGAACGAAGCATATTGGACCGACTTATCTTTGAAACCAAATTGGCAGTATAAAATAACGAAATGTTCTATGATTACAATGTCAGGATGAAGACTCGAGGACTATTAACAACAGCTATGAGGAATGTTTGGTGGTTGAAACGGCGAAAGAATATGTTAGGAACATACGGTAACCGTTAGCAATATTTTTAAATCAGTTTTTCGGAGAGCTACAGATCTGCAGCTACTATAGACTCTACCCGGATCAAACTTGCATGTATGATGTATCTAGTGATGGACGTACATTGTACTTCCAGACTTGCTTCGGATGCTGGATCTGACCTACATTTTCCAGATAAGTGATCAGGTCAAAGTTTTTGGTGCAGGTCCATTCCCAAGTAACTATAAGCCCTACCCAGACCAAACTTGCAGGGATGATGCATGTAGGGATGGACACTACCAGACTTCTTTCGGATGCTGGATCTTACCAGTACATCGATCCCAAAAAACTATAATTAAGCCGTAACCAGACCAAACTTGCTTCGATGATTCATTTAAAGATGGAAAATCGAAACTTGCTTCGGATGCTAGATCTGACCTATATTTTTCAAACAAGTAACCAGGTTAAAGTTTTTGGAACAGATTAATCCCCAATGAACTTTAAGACCTATTCAAACCGAACTTGCTTGAATATTGTGTTCAGGATAAATACTAACTGTTAAGAAAATATTATGTAAGATTTGCATTACTTGAACTGATAATATTCATGAGCTTTGTAATCTTTGATTACCTATGATTACCTATTTTTTTTTTATAATTATTATTTTGATAGACCAATCCTGAAAAAAAAAACCAGGATCCCCGGCCCCACTCCCCTTTTTAAAAAAAATACATAAATATCATTATCAATATAAATTTGAAAATTATTCGAATATTTGTGCCTTTTGTGGCAGTTGGCAATAAGCAGTTGGCTGTCGTATGTGGAATTCCATGCTAATTCAACATATTGAAAATAATTAAAATTAATTAAATAAATGATAATTGAAAAATATTGATTAATTTTCTTGGCCTTAATATAAGGACTTTTTCAAATTAGTTTGCAGAATCCAATGCTCCCCAACCTTGGCTGTAAACTTATTGATCACCATAATCATGTGATGGGGTAATAAAAAACATATTGAAAATAATTTTGTTCAATTTTTTTTTTATGTGTGTGGAAAGTTGGAAACCTAGAAAATGAGCCTAAAAATTGATGAAATTCTGTGCACTGGCTGTAACATCGACCTAAATCTGGTTGTAAAGATATCAATAAAAAAAAGTGAAATCCGGGACAATCGGGAGTCGGGAAAACTAGTTTTACCGCTTGCCAACATTATATGATCGGGATCGCCATTTTGACTTAAATTACAAACAAAGGTCGGCGCCTGTTGATAAACCTGTATTAGATAGAACAAGTAATTTTACAACTGGAACCTGTTAGAGGGCAAGTACTAAAAAATTCTATTTGTTTAAGATCTCTTAACGTTTGGTCCTTTGACATTTTACAACCTGCTAGAGGGCAAATACTAAAAAATTCCATTTGTGTAACATCCCTGGACGTTTGGCCCTTTCACATGTTTTACAGCCAAGTAGTTTTCCTTCATTTTCTTCACAACTGTTGTTCATACTGAAATGAAATTTAAAATATACAGATATATCAGATGAAAATCTAGGCTTAGTTCTGTTTAAGGTACGATCAAGCTATTTTTAACAGAGTTATGCCCCATGGACTTAGAAAAAATCCATTTATTTGCAGTTTTTTTCGGTCCGTCGATTTACACAAAAGGACCCAAAAGGAAATTAAAAACAACTCAAAAGGACTTGAATTAAAGAGATTCATAATTTATTAAAAATAAAACATTTTTTATGTATTTTTTTAAGGGGGGGGGGTGTCCCCTCCCCACCTACCTGCGATACCATGTGACTAGAACAAGTGAAAAAAATATTATTTCTCTAACATGTCCATTAATTAAATATCATATGGTAATAGGTCTGGTACAATCACTAGATTTAGCTACTTAGCTTGATTTACCTACATAGCTTTATTTACCTACCTGAGGTAGCTTTATTTAGCTACCAACTCAATTTATTTCTATAAAAAAGCATTTTTCGCAGGGTGCACGGAAAATATCCTTTCGATGCAGTGATCATTTTCAACTTTGAACTCATCTGAAAACAACTCAGGAAAAAGTCACTCTTGAATAAATGACTTTTTCTGCGCAATTGCAGCCAAAGTTCAGAAAGTTTTGGGGCTATGTTTGACAGTTAGAACAGTTACTCCTTGAATGAAATGACAAAGAAGTCCAGTTCCGGTAAACACGATAATAGGTCAGTAATCATTCAGCACAATTTGAAGTAATCATATATACTCAGCCATGCCGCACCGCACGTATGAGAAAGAAGACAGTAATCAAACAATGGAATTACATGTTTTGGTCTAAATTGTCCAAATGCAGCAATGTTTAAACTATCTCTACTTTGGATTGTTTTTATCTGCCTCCCTAGTATGAATATCAATAGTCTCTTAATTGCGATTTTTTGACTCTTTTGAATAAAAAATAAAATTTTGAGTAGTAACATTGAAATAGCTAAATAAAGCTACCTGAGGTAGGTAAATAAAGCTACGTAAGTAATTCTACCTATGTAGCTAAATCTAGTGATTGTACTGGACCTGGGTAAGATATGGCAAAATAGAAGTAAAAATATGATATATAAATACTTCAATATTTATTTTCAGCTAAAATAAAACAATCAAGCTTATCATGCTTATCTGACCAGATTTGGTGTTTGATATGCTATATAAGGTGTAAGTCATTTCCTTAAGAAAACTTGCAACAATAGAAATTTATATTTTTACCAACTTTTATTTGAACTTATAATGTAATATTCAAAATTTAATTCAAATTAATAATTTTCAGTAAGTTGTAAGATATTCATTTTGTGTCCTTTTGGGTACTTTTGGGTAAATCGACGCACCTGTTTCTGTTAATTTTTTTTCCGGTGAGAGTGATGCATTACCAAATGAATTATTTGTTTATTCAGTTGCAGGTTTTAGATTAAAGCAATAACTTGGTCATAATGGCAGAGTTCAACTCCACACATACACTTTATACTGAAGACCCCTCACCTGATATGGAGTTTACTGGTGTGTATAATTATATATGTATACTGGTGTCTCATTATAACGTGGTACTAAATCCTTTTGCATAAAAAGTGTTATTCCAATTTTTTACTTTAACTTGCATCAAATACTATCCATAAACCAATTTATGGCTAAATTTTTAGTGTCAAATTATTTCTCAAGTTTGCATTGTTTATTTTGTTAATAAAACAGGAAGTCTTATTTATCTCCTAGTCCTAAATTGGAGTGTCTCATAGTATAGCGGTATAGGAAAACATGGAAACTTGTGGCTGACATGGACTTCAATTTTTATTAGACGGGGTCATTTGACCCCGTCTATTAGTTTACTGTCAGAGCCCCTCAAAAAGGAAGCCGTGGTTAAAACACATGAATTAAATCTACGCTATATGAAAGAGTGCAGAAATTGTTTTGCTCAAATTATAAACATCGATCTGTATCAAACTGAAGAAATTGATATGAACTTTTTTCTAAATCAAATTAATGAAGCATTTTGAAAATGTAAACTCAAAATGTTAATTGTAAAACGCACAAGTAAACAAAAGTACTCTCCTGCGTAGTACCGTGTAACAGGTATTTTTTACGTGCTGCTAATTTTTACAAAATTTTGAACATCGTATTATGGGAGTATTTTAGTGCAATCACCGTCATTAAGCTAAGAACCTGGAGGCTATAGAATTAGTACTGACAACCGTTGGTTACTGATTATCAATTAGGATCAAACAAGTAAATCTTAATTAATACACAAATTATACAAAGATCATCAATTACCTGCTTCCTTTTACGGTACGCATAATTTCTGATAATGACTTAATTTTTACAGACTGAAGTCTTCAAATTATTTCCGTTTTTCAAGACTTTGACCCCTTCTTCCTTTTCATTTTTAGCTCACCTAAGCCGAAGGCTCAAGTGAGCTTTTCTGATCAAAATTTGTCCGTTGTCTGTTGTTGTTGTTGTTGTCGTCGCCGTTGTTGTCGAAAACTTTTTACATTTTCATCTTCTTCTCAAGAACCACTGGGCCAATTTCAACCAAACTTGCTACAAAGTATCCTGGGATAAAGGGGATTCAAGTTGGTTCAAATGAAGGGCCACACCCTTTTCCAAGGGGAGATAAACATGAAATAGAGAAAAAATAATGACATTTTTAAGAAATCTTCTTCTCAAGAACTACTGGGCCAGGAAAGATGAAACTCATGTGGAATCATCCTCAGGTAGTATAGATTCAAATTTGTTCAAATCATGACCCCCGGGGGTAGGGTGGGGCAAAAATGGCCGATCAAATTTTTACATAGGAATATATAGGAAAAATCTTTAAAAATCTTCTTCTCAAGAACTACTGGGCCAGGAAAGATGAAACTCATGTGGAATCATTCCCAGGTAGTGTAGATTCAAATTTGTTTAAATCATGACCCCTGGGGGCAGGGTGGGGCCAAAATGGCCGATCAAATTTTAACATAGGAATATATAGGACAAATCTTCAAAAATGTTCTTCTCAAGAACCACTGTGCCAGGAAAGATGTAACTCATGTGGAATCATCCTCAGGTAGTGTAGATTCAAGTTTGTTCAAATCATGAACCCCGGGGGTAGGATGGGGCCAAAATGGCCGATCAAAGTTTTACATAGGAATATATAGGAAAAATTTTCTTCTCAAGAACCATCGAGACAGGAAAGATGATACTCCTGTGGAATCATCCCCAGGTTGTGTAGATTCAAATTTGTTCAAACCATGACCCCCAGGGAGTAGGATGGGGCCAAATGACCGATAAAAGTTTTACATAGGAATAAATTGGGAAACCTTTTAAAATCTTCATTTCAAGTATTTCATAGCCGTGCTTAGTGATAATTAAAGGGAATCATCCTCAGGTAGTGTAGATTCAAGTTTGTTGAAATCATGACCCCTGGGGGGTTAAAATTCAAGCCCCCCCCCCTCCTCCAGTTAACTTTCAGATCTGATCTGATATGTGCTTTTTCCTAGCCAATTGCTCAGGTGAGCGATGTGGCTCCTGGGCCTCTTGTTATTTGCTTCCAGTACAAACTTCGACATTTTAATACAATGAAAAATCTTTGTCCGCTGTAATTCTGTAACCTTAATCATAATGGTTTGATTTGTCTCTCTTTTAATCATTAAAATGAAGACGTGCACGTGATGTGCAACAATAATGTGTGGACATGTATATTAATTGAAAAAAGAAATAAATACAGGGCATGTGATATATAAAGGTATTTAAATGAAAAAACATGTCATAATTTGATGAATCGACACTCGTTATCACAGGAACCATTTCGTTTTAATTTACATCGGGTTGTCCAGACACATTGAAAACATGTATTTGTATGTTGAATTTATATTTTATATAATAATGTCATTTTATATTTTATATTCAAAATGCAGAAAGGTTGATCTGGAATTTCACCGATGATGATTTTAATTTTTACGGACATGCACAATTCGTAAAAATTGAACATGTAAAAAATTAAATCACCTCATTTTAACCAAAATTCATAAAAATTTACAGCAGTAAAAATTACCCTTTATACGGTATTACAAGTGTTTACGCATCATCCATTTTTTTACTTCCAGAAAAAATAAATAAGGAACAGGTGAAATTCGGACAATTCGAAAAGGTTTCTAGACTTAGCATTTATTAATAATTGTACTTCAAATTAAATGGAAAATGCGAATTTATTTTATTCACAGTTTTGTGTTTAGCTTGTTAATTAAAAAAATTATCAAAACTCATTAAAAAAATTTGTGAAACCCAGCATTAAAATTATTTTGACCTCCTCTTTCAGTACTGTCTCAGTACTTAGATTTTTAGCTCTTCTGAGCCAAAGGCTCAAAGAGCTAATGCTATGACCATTTGTGCGGTGTGCGTCGTGCGGTGTGCGTTAACATTTTAGAAAATGGGCCATAACTCAAGAACACCTTGGCCAATCAGTGTCAAATTTGTCACAGGGTATCCTTGGCCCAAGGGCTACCATTCATACTAAAATAAGGGTTGGGAATGTTTTCATATTGTTTAAAAGGCATATTTTGATTACCTTCTGATCTATGATCATCAAACTTAGTCAGCAGATGCATCTTGGGACTTTGAAAAAAGTTTACTAAAATGTAGGTCACAGTGACCTACTTTTGACATTTTATAGCTTTATTTAATTATCTTAGGTATTTATAAGCTTAGAATCGCGAAACTTTGTGAGTTGATGCATCTTGGGTTTTCGGAGAGTGACGACCAAAAAGTAGGTCATGGTGACCTACTTTTTACATTTTAGAGCTTTATTTAAGCATCTTAGGTATTCATAAGCGTAGAATCATCAAACTTTGTGAGTTGATGCATCTTGGGTTTTCGGAGAGTGATGACCAAAAAGTAGATCATGGTGACCTACTTTTGACATTTTATAGCTTTATTTAAGTATCTTAGGTATTAATAAGCTTAGAATCATCAAACTTTTTGGGTTGATGCATCTTGGGTTTTTGGAGAGTGATGACCAAAAAGTAGGTCATGGTGACCTACTTTTGACATTTTATGGCTTTATTTAAGGGTCTCTAGTACTTATTGGCTTAGAATCATCAAACTTTGTGAGTTGATGCATCTTTGGTTTTCAGAGAATGTCAACCAAACAGTAGGTTATGGTGACCTACTTTTGAATATCTCAGGTACTTATTGGCTGAGAATCATCAAACTTTGTAAGTTGATGTATTTTGGGCTTTCGAAAATCGCCTACATAAAATAATTCACAGTGACCTACTTTTAACATTTTATGGTTATAATTAAGTATCTCCAGTACTTATTGGCTTGGAATAATCAAACTTTGTCAGTTGATGCATTTTGGTTTTTCCAAGAATGTATATGAAAAAGTAGGTCAAGGTGACTTACTTTTGAATATCTCGCATACTTATTGGCTAAGAATCTTCAATCTTTGTCTATTAATGCATCTTGAGTCCTCAGAAAACTTCAATCTTAAAGTAGGTCATTGTGACCTACTTATGTTTTTTTTTTATAGCTTTATTAAAATATCTTCAGTTATAATTGGCTAAGAATCATCAAAATTTGTCAGTTGATGCAACTTGGCTCTTAGAATACTTAAGGTTAGAGGCTTCAACATGTTCAAATAGAAGTGATAGGTTGTACAATTTATCAGAAGAGCAATTCAAGGCCCTTGGGCCTCTTGTTATTTTTAAGGTGTAATTCTACATAAAAAATAAACATTTATACAAACTAAAGACTAAAGACTTTCAAAACATGAACTTTATTATGGTTTTTACTAGGTTATAAAATCAATTCTCTAAATATAATTTTTTTTCTTTGATAATAAATTTGTTTAAAAATGTATTTAAACATGTTTAAGTTCATCTTTTATGTCAAACCCTGATGCTACTCTACCTACATTTGTTATAACTTGGTGACTAAACTAAATACATAATACTGTTCATCGATTTTAAGCTATACTAGTCAGAGACTAGAAGAGCTTATGTGATAGTAAGGTGTCCATTGTCCATCTGTTTAGCTGTCTGTCTGTTTGTCTGTAAACAATTTTTCTAAATGTTACTCCTACAGATTTAGTCGGATTTCAATATAACTTTGCACACAAGTGGACTACAGTATGATTCAAACATGATTTAGAGCATAGCTTTTTGATTTCGACAAACAGTGTAAATATGGGATTAGGAAAAAAATATACTGTATAAAGGAAATTTTTGCCCCTTTCAGCCTACCCTTATTTTGGGGAATAAAAATGGGGCGAATTCAAAGAACACAATATAATTTCTTAAACAAAGCTTTGATTGGGCAAAATTAAATCGGGGCAAAATTGTTTGCAAGTATGAAGTGGCAAAAATAACCCTGTATTTATTGTAAAGCAGTACAGATAAACTCTGTTATAAGGTAGTCGTGGGGAACTGTGAAATTCCTTCACTATATCCATAATTTGTGTAATGAATTTATATAGCAGGAGATCCAAGATGACTTAGCTATATCCGTGAATTCGCAATATCCGTGTTCATACTAAACAAGTTTTACTTTATAACATATTATTGTAAACAGGATTTTTATTAGATTTAACTCTTGTTACCAAAAAAAATTTATTTCAGTTAAAAGAAGATTAGAGCATTCTTACACAAATTATATAATTCTAAATCTAACACATTACCTGTCTTGATTATAGTAAAGAAGGAGCCACTTGGGATTTCTGACTCTATGGAGGAGGAGGAAAACCAACAGCTGTTAACAGTGAAGGTAAATAATTTTTTTTTAATGACATTGGGAGTAGATTATGTGATACCCTGAGCATCAGCATCCCAGGTTAAAGTTTTTGGTAAAGTTTTTTCTTTAAGGTGTTTCCACCCTCACAAAGCCTATGACATCATAGGAGGGTGGAATTACCTTAAGTACTGCTTTGCCCTACATTAATCAGAGTGGCATAGCAGATGCTTTCAGTTTGTTCTATTGTACTTGTCAATGTTGCAGATCTGTAATTTCAGCAAAGGAATGACCAGATTGATGTATTTGGTGCTAGTTTAAGTTTTTGAAACAGGCCTCATTTCCAAGTAGCTAGCTATATTTACGTTGACCAAACTTGCATGGGTGATATATCTAAAGATGAACACTGCTAGGCTTTCTTCAATCATGTCAAATGCTAAATCAGACCTACATTTCTGGATGAGTGAACTGGGTGATGTTTTTGGAGCAGGTCTCATTTCCAAGGAACTATAAGCCGAATGTAGACCAAACTTGCATGGAGGATTCATCTAAGAATGCATACTACACTGATTGCTTCAGATGCTGGATCTGACCTTCTCTTTTATACGCCATGCCATCCTTAGATTTTTTTTTTTTTGGTAACGCGACCGACTCATCAAAATCCACCCGCCTGGATTTTTTTTTATCAGTTCAAAATTTTTTTTTTTTTATGTATTCATTTTCCGTTTTTATCCGATTATATTTTTTTACGTCTCCATTGCACCTATGCTGTTTTTATCCAATTGATATATTTTTTTACGCCTTGGTTACACTGATGCTTTATCTTTTCCCCAAGTTCTATTAAAACATCTTCATGATCTACATATTTAGAAATGGTGTCCGAGAAGGTTGTGGGAAATATTGACTCTATAATTCAGAAAGATAGGTCACTGTGACCTACTTATGGTATTTTATAATTATATTATAATATATTCAGTACTTACAGACTGAATATTATTATACCCCCCGCAAACGAAGTTTAGGGGGGGTATATTGGAATCACCATGTCCGTCTGTCCGTCTGTCTGTCTGTCCGTCTGTCCGTCTGTCTGTAGACGAGATTTTGTCCGGACCATTACTCAGAAACTATTGGAAGGATTTGTCTGAAAAGTTGTACACATATTATTCACCATATGAAGTTGTGCACCTGATATTTTTCATCTTGATTGGATTATTATTTTGAATTTTACAGGTGTTTTTTCATTTTTATTTTGTGGTTTTATTTGGACCGTTTCTCAGAAACTATTGCAAGGATTAATCTGAAAATTTGTACAATTATTATTCACCATATGAAGTTGTGCACCTGGAATTTTCAACTCTTTTTGTTCATTTTTCTGCATTTTACAGGTTTTTTAAAATTTTAATTGACTTGTTCATTTTGGGCTCATGTATAAGGTTTGAGACATAGAATCTAGAATATCTGTACAAAAACGTGAACTACAGCTTAAAATTACTCATAAAAACTTAAAAAAAAAAGAAACATCAAGTGTTAAAAACAGTTTTTACATTGCACAGAAGATAATGTAATTTCATTTGTCTCTGGGGAATAATGACTGGACATGCATCCAGTTAAAGATAAATTAATGAGTTTGGTGTTGGAAGTTGTTTAGGCATATCTCTTATCAAGTGTGTGTGTGTTATCAAATCTTCAGGGAATAAGGCACAATTAAGAATTAAAGATCTATCTTCTCTTATTCTCTTAATTGTAATTTATTGTCTGTCAAAACACTTCATTACAGGATGACCAGTTCTTTATTTTCAAAATGCATTTCAAATTGATATATCAAGATTAATTTGATTTTGTATAATGGTTTTTTTTTTTCAACAATCATTTTACAGAGTGACATAACACATAATTGCAATATATTTTTATACGCCCGTCTTAAGACAAATTTTATTATGTTATAGGCTTCGTGTCCGTCTGTCTGTCCGTCTGTCTAGCTGTCCATCCGTCCGTCTGTTAGCTTTTCTCGTGTCCGGCTCATAACTTTAATACTATAAGGCCTAGAGTTATCAAACTTTGTCATCTGATACATCTTGGGTAGAAGGTGTGTCGCGCACAAAAAATATGTCGCTCTGACCTATAATTAAAAGTTGTACAAAAACGTGAACTACAGCTTAAAATTACTCATAAAAACTTAAAAAAAAAAGAAACATCAAGTGTTAAAAACAGTTTTTACATTGCACAGAAGATAATGTAATTTCATTTGTCTCTGGGGAATAATGACTGGACATGCATCCAGTTAAAGATAAATTAATGAGTTTGGTGTTGGAAGTTGTTTAGGCATATCTCTTATCAAGTGTGTGTGTGTTATCAAATCTTCAGGGAATAAGGCACAATTAAGAATTAAAGATCTATCTTCTCTTATTCTCTTAATTGTAATTTATTGTCTGTCAAAACACTTCATTACTGGATGACCAGTTCTTTATTTTCAAAATGCATTTCAAATTGATATATCAAGATTAATTTGATTTTGTATAATGGTTTTTTTTTTTCAACAATCATTTTACAGAGTGACATAACACATAATTGCAATATATTTTTATACGCCCGTCTTAAGACAAATTTTATTATGTTATAGGCTTCGTGTCCGTCTGTCTGTCCGTCTGTCTAGCTGTCCGTCTGTCCGTCTGTTAGCTTTTCTCGTGTCCGGCTCATAACTTTAATACTATAAGGCCTAGAGTTATCAAACTTTGTCATCTGATACATCTTGGGTAGAAGGTGTGTCGCGCACAAAAAGTATGTCGCTCTGACCTATAATTAAAAAGTTATTGCCAAATATGGAAAAATCCTGTCCGGTCCATAACTAGAAAACTATAAGACTTAGAATCATCAAACTTGGCCAGTTTATGCATCTTAGGTAAAAGGTGTGTCGCGACCTATTTCAAGGTCACTGTTCATGTGACCTTTAATTTAAGTGGAATTTTTAAAAAAAAATTAAATTTTTTCTCTTCATTTACACATTTAGAATAATGTAAAATTATTGCACTAACCTTAATAGAAAAATGTTAAATCAAGAAAATACTTATTTTTTAGCATATACTTGACAGCAATCTATAACAAATATAATGTATGTTAGAGAAATTCCACCACTCCCATGAGTCTAATTATCAAGCACTGGTCAAGAAGAATGATAACAGAAAATTGCATGACAATTTAGAGAGAGAAATTAATGAGTTTAGTGTGAAGAGTAGCTGTAAGAGCATCGGTGCTATCTATATCCCTTGAGTATTGGGCCAAATGGGTAAGCCTGTTGGATTAAATTAGCTCTTGTTGGGTAGCCGAAGTTTGAAAATGAATTTGATGAGAAGTAATTAAAACAAATTTGATATTGCATATTAACTATTTTGATATTACATAATATTATGAACTTAAAAATTAATTTTATGGTGGTAGGGGTGGAATCTGCATGTCCATATGAATTGCATATTAACAATTAACTGTCTGACATTAATTCAAAAAAAAAAAATCATTGATGTTTTATATCTTTTAAAAATGTTTTATGGTAGTTAGCGCAGATCCAATAATCTTTTGGGAGTAATGAGTAGACAAGCATCCAGTTAAAGATTAATTAATGTGTTCAATGTAGGAATCTCTTTCATTTCTTCAGAGCATGGTCTAATCTGTATCCTTCGGGAATTAGAAAAAGAGCTGTTGGTCAGTTTATATTTGATGGCCAGTCTTTTATTTCCAAAATTAATTAGGTGTAGATTAAGTTGTGAAGACTAATTTGATATTTTTAAATATGATAGGCATTTGGCAAGGTATAGAAATCTATGAATGATGCAATGTTTGTTATAATTAATGCCTACACCACAGGAGATAGATAAACAAATTTTTTAAGGTGTGTAAAAATCATTGAAATCTAAAAATCAAGGTTGACATGATTTTCCTGCACTTTTAACTGTTTAAGATACATTGTAATTGTATTTTTTTGACGGGCCTATCATGCTGTGGCGTGGCACTTTATTTTAATGCAGTAATAAAGAAAAATTAAATGAAAAAAATTTTAAAAAAAAAATGTTACAATGGAATTACAATGTATTAGTATTGATGTTTCATTTGTTTGCACCTCCGTTTCATTCATTAAGAGACATGATGAGCAATTATATTTCACTGCAAATTTTTTAAAGTAAATTGTGAACATCTTTAGATCCATAAAGCATTTTTGAATTGGCACCTTCTCTGAAAAACCCAGCGGGGGGTATTTGTCCCTATTGGACAGTTCTAGTTGAACTTTGTCAGTTGATGCATTTTGGGTCTTATGATACTAATAGAATTTGAGGCTTCTAATAGAAGTGATAGATTGTATAATTTATAAGAAGAGTGAATCAAGGCCCTTGGGCCCCTTGTCTGGATTAGTGACTAGTTTGAAATTTTTGGATAACTTTCTTTCCAAGTAAGTGCAAGTCCTATCAGATCAAAGTTGCATAAATGTTGCATCTTGGGATGTGCATTACTAGACTTTTATTTTAACATGTTAGATATGCCACTTTGCCTTACTTCAGTAAAACATTCATTGAGATGAGCTCTGCTATATCTGTCTTACATTAAATCTAAGAAAAATAGGAATTTTCAAAAATGTTTATGGTAGAAAGTGCAGAACATGCATTTATGTCTTTGGAGTAATGAGTGCACAAGCATCCAGTTAAAGATTAATGAACAATTTCATTGCTGGAAGGACTGCTGTCATATCAGTAGAGCATCACTGATCAAGCAGCTCTTATTTGCATCCTTTGGGAATTAGAAAAGAGCTGCTGGTCAGTTTATAGCATATGTCATTTGAAAAAATATGCATGAAGCAAAAGTTAAAGACCTAGATTAAAATTGTTTTAATTGAGGGAATCAATTATAACTTTCGGAAACTTTTTACTTTACATATATTTATTTACCCTCATTGACCTATTGCTATCTGTCGTCGTTCATCGTGCGTTAACATTTGAACATTTTCAGCTTCTCTGCAACCACTGAATCAATTTCAACCAAATTTGGCACAA